AATCCCAGAAATAAAGGATTCCCAATCTCTGCCCCATAGAACCCCAGAAATGAGGGATCCCCCCATTCCTGCCCCATAGAACCCCAGAAATGAGGGATCACCCCGTTCCTGCCCCATAGAATCCCAGAAATAAAGGATTCCCAATCTCTGCCCCATAGAATCCCCGAAATATGGGACCATCCCTGTTCCTGCCCTATAGAATTCCCTAAATATGGGATCCCCCCCATTTCTGCCCCATAGAACCCCAGAAAGGAGAGATCACCCCTGTCCCTGCCCCATAGAACCCCAGAAATGAGAGATCACCCCCATTCCTGCCCCATAGAATCCCAGAAATGAGGGATCCCCCCGTTCCTGCCCCATAGAACCCCAGAAACGAGAGATCACCCCGTTCCTGCCCCATAGAACCCCAGAAATGAGGGATCACCCCGTTCCTGCCCCATAGAATCCCCAAAATACGAGATCACCCCCATTTCTGCCCCATAGAATTCCCTAAATATGGGATCCCCCCCATTTCTGCCCCATAGAATCCCCGATATATGGGATCCCCCCCATTTCTGCCCCATAGAATGCCCTAAATAAAGGATTCCCCATCTCTGCCCCATAGAATGCCCTAAATAAGGGATCCCCCCTGTCCCTGCCCCATAGAACCCCAGAAAGGAGAGATCACCCCCATTTTTGCCCCATAGAACCCCAGAAATGAGAGATCACCCTGTTCCTGCCCCATAGAACCCCAGAAATAAAGGATTCCCAATCTCTGCCCCATAGAATCCCCGAAATATGGGACCATCCCTGTTCCTGCCCTATAGAATTCCCTAAATATGGGATCCCCCCCATTTCTGCCCCATAGAATCCCGGAAAGGAGAGATCACCCCGTTCCTGCCCCATGGAACCCCAGAAATGAGGGATCCCCCCCCGTTCCTGCCCCATAGAACCCCAGAAATGAGAGATCACCCCCATTCCTGCCCCATAGAATCCCAGAAAGGAGAGATCACCCCGTTCCTGCCCCATAGAACCCCAGAAATAAAGGATTCCCAATCTCTGCCCCATAGAATCCCCGAAATACGAGATCACCCCCATTTCTGCCCCATAGAATTCCCTAAATATGGGATCCCCCCGTTCCTGCCCCATAGAATCCCAGAAATGAGGGATCCTCCCGTTCCTGCCCCATAGAATCCCCTAAAAAGGGAATCTTCTGTTCCTGCCCCATAGAATCTCCTAAATATGGGATCCCCCCCATTTCTGCCCCATAGGATCCCCGAAATGAGGGATCCTCCCCATTTCTGCCCCATAGAACCCCAGAAAGGAGAGATCACCCCCATTCCTGCCCCATAGAATCCCTGAAATATGGGACCATCCCTGTTCCTGCCCCATAGAACCCCAGAAATGAGAGATCACCCCCATTTCTGCCCCATAGAATCCCCGATATATGGGATCCCCCCCATTTCTGCCCCATAGAATTCCCTAAATAAAGAATTCCCCATCTCTGCCCCATAGAATCCCCTAAATACGAGATCACCCCCATCTCTGCCCCATAGAATGCCCTAAATAAGGGATCCCCCCCCGTTTCTGCCCCATAGAATCCCCTAAAAAGGGAATCTCGTGTTCCTGCCCCATAGAATCTCCTAAATAAAGGATTCCCCATCTCTGCCCCATAGAATGCCCGAAATATGGGACCATCCCTGTTCCTGCCCCATAGAATCCCCGAAATACGAGATCACCCCCGTTTCTGCCCCATAGAATCCCGGAAATAAAGGATTCCCCATCTCTGCCCCATAGAATGCCCTAAAAAGGGAATTTCGTGTCCCTGCCCCATAGAATCTCCTAAAAAGGGATCGCCCCCGTTTCTGCCCCATAGAATCCGTGCCCCATAGAATCCCCAGAATCAGGAATCTCCTGTTTCTGCCCCATAGAATGCCCGAAATAAAGGATTCCCCATCTCTGCCCCATAGAATCCCTTAAATAAGGGATCCCCCCGTTTCTGCCCCATAGAATGCCCTAAGAAGGGAACCTCTTGTTCCTGCCCCATAGAATCCCCAAAATAAAGGATTCTGCATTCCTGCCCCATAGAATCCCCGAAATAAAGGATTCCCCATCCCTGCCCCATAGAGTGCCCAAAATATGGGACCATCCCTGTTCCTGCCCCATAGAAT